CCCCCCCGGGGGGGGGGGGCGGTTCAGGAAAGCCCCTGGTTTCTTCCGGTTGCGGGGGAAGGGTCCATGAAAGATGAATCCCGTGATGCCCATCGCCGCCTAGGCGGGGGGAGAGAGGGGCGGAAGGGGAGAAGGCGAGGGGTAAAAGAGGCGAGAGGAGAGGGAGGAAGAGGGTGATGGGAGACAGGGGAGAGGAGAGAGGAGGGCGAGACGCCCCTTGCCCAGCTTCTTGAGGGCGACGCCGGTGCAGGCGCCTGTTGGGGGTGGGGAAGGGCGGACAGCCGAGGAGAGGGCGGAACAGAGGTGTGGGCGTGGCGGCCGTGGCGGTGGAGGCGGTGGTGGCGGTGGCGGTGGTCAGGGCCGGTGCACGCGCCCATCACGGTGCCAAACCCTCCCGACTGAGCCATCAGCTCGGCGTCGATCTCCTTGGGGAGCGCGAAGCCGCCGGGCAGGGAGAGCGAGGACAGGTCGGGCATCGTGAAGCCGCTCTCCTCCTTTGGCGCGCCTGCCGCCGCATGAGGGAGGAGCAGAGCACGGTTGGAGAGAGGCGGGCAAGTGGAGGCGAGGCGGGCGGCGGGAGAGGCCGAAGGGAGGGGAGCGCGTTGCGGATGCTCGAGCAGGGCACGCGGGTGCGCCGTGGGGACGCAGGGTCTCTGTCCTCACCGTAGTACACGCCGAGGCCTCGCATCTTCTTGAGCTCCGTCTTGCGATCAACAATATTCTTGAGCTCTTCGGGCGACGCGCCCTTCTCCCTCGAGCGAAGCTGCTGCAGCTCGGAGTTCACGCGCTCGCGCGCCTCGGCACGAGAGCCCATCATTTCTGCTCAATGGAGTCGGCCCGCTCTTGATGCGGCCGAAGACGGAAAAATTGCGGTGCCACAACGAGGTGACAGACAGGATGGAGAACAACGCGACAGAGGAGGAAGTGACAAGGGAGAGAACGACGAGGGTGGGACGACCGCGTGGTGGCATGAAGGTTGCAGCGAGAATCAGCGAGAGACTGCGAAGAGAGATAGGAAGAGGCAGACTCCCTAGGGTGGGCGACGGATAGCGCACCACACACCTCTCCTTAAAATCCCTGTGTGGTGGCGGCGTGCCGTCCTCCCATCCCTCCCTTGGGTTGTCTGTTTTCTTTCTTTCTTTCAGGAGGGGAAAAAAGGTTTTTCTGCATTTTTGCTCCCGGCTGAGGGAGCAAGCAAGCCCACCCACGCTTATATAGTCACCATTCTTACAGTGGTGTAGCTTGCGCATCGGCTGCAGCCTCTGCTGGGGCGGAATGCGCGGGGTTTTCGGCGCGATGCCCTCGGCGAGTACACGCTACCGCGGTGCCGCAAGCTCTCCTGCGCGCGCGTGACGTGTGGGACGCGTGCGCTGCGCTCAAACGTCGCGATTTGGCGATAGGCGCTCGAGCCGGCGCACAGCGGATAGGTGCGCCGCGCAGGGGGGGTCGGAGGGGTGCGAGAGGGGGCGTGGGTCGGGCGCGCACCGGACGGCCCTGGGAACGGCCGTCACGTCGAGGAGTGGGGCTGTTGGCGGCTCGAGCGCCGAGGCGAGCCGCTCTGCTGCGCCGCCGACAGCCCCTCTTCCGAGCCGGCGCGTGGAGGCGAGCCGCGGCCGGTGTCGCTGGTGCGGGGGCGGCGCAGCGTTTATCCCCCCCCCCCCCCCCCCCCGCGCCCGCCCGCCCGCCCGCCCGCCCTCAGGCCTTGCCCCTCCGCAGGCGCGGGAGCGCTCGCCGGCGAGCACCTCCTACCTCTCGTCGCCCGGCTGCTCCCTTCCCCCGTCCCCCCTCTCCTGACGCGCACCCCGCGCAGACGGCGCTCCGGGACAGACGGAGCAGCGACCGCGCGCGCGGTCGCTGCTCCGCCCCTCCGTCGCGCGCGCCGCGCGCGCGCGCTCTGCCGCCACTGCCGCCGCGCCCCCCTCGCCGTCTGTTTCCCGCCGTACTCGAGTATGGTGTGCGGTGCGCGCACGCGCAGCGCACACAGCAGCACCTCCCCACACCCCACCCACCCCGTCGCGCCGCCGCCGCCGCCCCCGCCGCCGCCGCCGCCCCCGCTGTAGGTGTAGCGTTTGGGGGGGCGACTGGCGACGGCAAAAATGCAAGCCCCGCCCCTGGCCACTGTTATGTCGTCGCCCTGAATGGTTGCCCAGGTTACTCAGGACACGATCGCGCCGTGAACACAACTAACTGACGGATCCGCTCCTGACAGTCGCACGCGCCGTGCTGTGGCGCGTGCGACTGTCTTTGTTTGAAGTCAAAAGTCGAATCAGAGCGGTGTCGGCGTTGTCCTGAGTTTTC